GTGCTGGTAAGGGATATTATGGAATGGGACTCAGGGAAAATTATGTCCTCTATGAAGGGGAAATGATCTCTGTATGCTTCTGATCCAACCATTCATTTAGGAAGGTTCTGGATTGAAGATAAAAGGGATAATTTTCTGCTCTGAGATCTGTTGCTTGCTGGGCCTCCATCTCATTACATGGTAAGTATTGGCATTAGGCAATTTCCAGAACTCTGCATCTCTGAGACTTCTGTTAACCAAGACTCTGCAGGTTAATCTCAGGCATTCTATGTGCAGATGCTACTAATTTGTTTTCTCTTGCTGAATTTCTTTCCTCACAAGGGTGAGGAATTTCTTTCCTCACATTCTTCCCTGTCAAGAAGTATATCTCCACTAACTCAGACCAAACACAACGAAGAGAGAGCTGATCCACCTCCCTGTGTATTTGCAACTTTCACATCATGGGTGGTCAAATATTTGCTACAATTTCTACTGCTATTTAACACATGCACCCACTTAAATGGCAAATATTCTTCTTTCATTATTGACATGTCTTCCAAAAATATCCATGAGGACTTAGACGACAACTGAAAATTCAAGCTTTTCACGTCTCTGTTAGCTATGAAAGAGCTACAGATTAAATAATTTCTACTGGACTCCCACTTCCCTTTCTTCTGACCCCTACTTCATTTGAAATAGAGCTAAATATATGTTGCTTTCACCATACCAAGCCTCATTAGTAGCCCTCCTTTACTGTATTAATTTCACCCAGTACCAACACATAGGGTCATATATAGGGTTGCTAGGGGCCAGAACAAACTCTATAGCACCCAACAACAACAACAATAAACAAACACAACTACTAAACTTTCTCAATATTTACCTAGTACTTACATTTAATAATACATTCTAGGTAAACAAACATTATTAAATTTTCACAATAGCTCTATGAATAAATGAATTATAAATGCACTTCATGGGTATTATGTGCTAATTTATCTTATCCTTTTTCAAGGAAATAAGGAAAGCCAAGCCATTCATGTTTTTTCACTCACCGATCCCGAGTCATTTATCTGGTATTTTCCCACATGCCTCAAGCCCATAATATACTTTTCTGTGCACTTTGCTAAAGTGAAAAATAAGAGAATTTCCACAGTCCCATCTGTACCCTGTTTTTCCCATTGCACTTAAAATGGGATGATTTTTCTAGTTCTTTGTTTCTGTAAAAACTCTCATATTATTACTTTAATAAAATTAACTTTATGGCAAATATCCTTTATTTCTTTACTATGATAGAGTTGCCTTATGTATTTTTTAAGTTGAAATTTTAAAAGTTTACTTTTCTACTTATTATCTCTGATACAGTGTTACAAAATCAGGAGGTTTTTGGATTACACATATGTTCAGTATAGA